ATCAGTGTGCTCCTGACAGGGATTCAGACGATCTCTAATCCCACCCCAGTGAGGCTGAGGAAAATGTTACCCTGGACGGTGGAAGAGAATGGAGCCCTGGGACGGTGTCAGGAAAAACAAAACTGTGCTACGGTTGTGCAGACTAAGAAGGTCCCTGAGTTTAGGGTGCAATTTTGCGGGCAGAGCCTGCCCTGTGCCTCAGATGTCCCTCTAGGAATGCTATCAATAAACGGTGATAAACCAGAAATAGTAAAATCTGACTCCAACCTTCAGATACTGCCATTACACTGAGATGTCTTGCATGGAGCAAAAAAGCCACTGAAAGCCCTGAGAAAATTAAAGCAACAAATATGAGATGGTGAACAAGTTTCTCTTGGCTCTTTGTACTTCTGGAATTGTCTTAATCTCTGGGTGATCCTGTGGGCTTGTTAGAAGATTCAAAGGTCTCAGAAATAACATCTTATGAAAGTATAGGAAACGCCTGACTCTTAACTATACCTCAGTACGTTCTCCAGCTACACAGGGGCCACCTGCAACAAACTAATGATCTTTCACTTTTGAATAACCCCTTGCAAGACCCCAACATGCTACAGTGAATGGCTAGACATGTTTAAGACACAGGCCTGGATCTAAAAGGGCAGTGGAAATTTTAGGAGGTAAAGCAGTGGACAAAATCCTCCTAAAAAACATTAAGACAAGAGATGTGCTAGAGATGAAAGCAGCCCAGAATACAGTATGGCCCTACTTCTTTGCTATTTGAAAAGCACTCAGGGAATCTCCCATCATCACAAATGGAAGAGGCGCAGACAAAGGTGGCCCTCACTTTTCTCTTTATGTTCACTTGTAATGTGCTGCTTAATTAACTTGATTTCCTCCCACCTCAGCCCTCACTGCAGCATACACATCTCTTGATCGACTATCAGATGCTTCTCAGGATGTAACTAGACTTAATACTGAGTTTATCATTGTATTGAGCTATTTGTCACAAGCCTTATCCCAGCCACAGTGAGGGGAAATACTCAGCTAGCAAAGGTTTGGAGTTCAAAACAGATGGATGCAAAGTTTGTTCTTGCTGCCAGTGTGAAGCATGACCTGGCTAAGGGTGCCTCGGTTCCCATCCTTGTTCTAGTTGAGGTTGACAGGTATTCTCAAATAAATGGGAATGATTCCTCTGTGGGTTGAAAATGAATTGGAAATATTTACAATGTCTTTATGAAATCCCACCCACCCATGTACACACTTGGTTTACAACCCACTTGTGAGAAATGATGAGACACAAGCTCCAGGGCCAGAAATCACGCTCAGTATATGAGTAACTGGTTACTCACTCTCCATATGTAAGTTTGCTTCAGGTCTCTGTATCTTTGCTAAGTTTTGGCACAGGCATTAATGCCAGGCCGGAGGCAGTTATGAGCCACTGAGTCAGCCCAGCTGAATCTGTGACAGCTGCTGCTAACCCACACGACCTTTGGGTACTGATGGGGACCTCGCCGCTGCACGTTCTGGCTCCCCAGTACTGAGCTACTTCCTGATAATCCGTGACTGCTGCAGCCACCCGGTGCATCCTGACAGATGCAAGGTGACTCATCTGGCTGCAGCTGGCCAGCCTGTGAAGTTCACTTTCTCAAACAGGCAACACTCAGAGCAAGATCTCTCTCCTACAAAAGCTGCCCCAGCACGAAACCATCACAAATCACTGCTCAGGTTACCCTGAGGTCTCTCACTAGGGTCTAGGAAGGAGTATGACATGAGGGATCATGTTGGGTAGTGGTTTAATCATGTGGGACTGTCCTCTGAGCAACCAAGTTGGTGTTCTTGTATGAAATGTCACATCAAGCATCATCATGGGATGAAGTAGTTGAAGACAAAAATTCCCAGCTGACCTCTCACTTCCTGGCAGTTTTAGGTCTGGAATAGATGCAGAAAGGCCTCTAAGCTAGGGAAACCGCATGGGAAATGCTTTAGGGATCCAGTAGCTGAGCTGGACAGGCACAAGGCTTTGTGCGCTACAGGCTGGAAAACAAGCAAGAAAGTGGCCATTTCCCATGTGAAGGCTGGGTAACACTTTCAGCAGTGTCTGCTCTTTCTGTCAGGAGGGGGAGGACTAAAGTACGTGTGTGTGTGGAGGGACCAAGCCCACAGAGGCCAAACGTAATCCCCTTTTCTCTGTTGTGAGAATGGAAATGCCATGCTTCTCCTCTAGAATTTCAGCTGCCAGCACCGAGCCCGTCTGGTGGATTCTGGCCGGGACACCCAATCCTGGGGTAACTGGATAGCGTGCTGAGCAGCAGCAAATGCTGGGCACTCTCGCCCAGGCTGGCCCCAACCTCCTTGTCTAAACTGCAAAGAAATCTCCCTCCTGCTGCTGCTAAGGGATGAAACCAGAGAACTGTCTGTTTGCAGTTCAGACAAACTGCCATAATTTTAAATTCCCCATTTTTTTTTTTTCTATCTTCTGAACTCTCTCCTTCCCTGTAGTTGATATTTACCCCTGCCAAGAGCAACGAGATACCCTGGATAGCTGGAAAGGAGGATGAGAGGGTTGAGGTGCAATGGGTTTTACCTGTAATGCCACAGAACAGCTGAATTATGCACAGATAAATTACACAGAGCAACCCATATTGAGACCTCATGAAACTTTCACCCACCCTGCTACATAAAAGAGGACACTTCTAGGAGCTGTCATTCATGCCGGTAGTATTTCTTGCATCCTTCCACTAGGAACACCAGAGGGCTTAGAAAGGCAGGAAGGTATCAAGATAAGTAAATATAAAGCAGTTATAAAATAACCTGGGTTAGCCTTTCTATGCACAAAAGAAATAGAAGTATTTATATGCTGATAGCTTGGCCCTCACGTGATTAAAAGCATTAGGAAAATAGGAATCTCCCCTTCTTGGGGGTGCAAAGCTCTCTTTTCTTCAGGACTGCCAGATAATGTATCCTCTCTTTCCCATACAAAGGGCTTATTGGCTCAGGACTCTATCTTCCCCTAGCCTGAGCCTGGGGGCAGGGTAATTTGGGGTAGGGATAAGCATAGAAAAAGAGTTGGTCTGGTCATTTCAATGAGCCTCTGATTTAGTGAGCAGGACTAGTAAGTAGATGATGAAGCTACAGAAATGGAAATTTCATGATGGACTTGTATATGTCTAATGCTTGTGCAGCTTATCACGTGGATCTCATCCTTAACTTATTCTATGATGCTAAATTGCACTTGTGATAATCTGAATTAATCACGTGCCCTGGCCCATCTAACCTGCAGTCTGCCTTTGAATTCCATACTCTATGCTCATCTCTCAAGCCCAGTGCTATTAGAAATCCCTTGTCAGAAAGATGTCTCCTTATTTCCCCCACAAATTACACTGTTTGAAGCAATATTCAGCCTCATGCCAGTCACACTTTTACATTTTCTATCTTACGACCATTCAAAGCTAGAAGTGGGATTTTTATATCATTTCAGAGAAGCTGCAAAAATTTCCCTCCTTCCATTGACACTCAATGTTTGTTTTCACACTTGAGAGATCACAAGCTATTGGACCTTAAAATCCATATACCTCTCTGATGTCCCCATTTATTGGACTTCTCTCTAAACAGTTGTAGCTTTTTCATTTCAGATGCCTACCTAATTTCTCCCTGTAGTTTCAGATTATTTTGCACTTCCTGCCTTAAATAGTACTACTGGCCACTCTGAAACAACTGCTATAGTGCACTTCATATGTCTCCATATTTCACAAGTGACTGAGAATAAAAGTAAAACGTATTTGATACCCCTCCAGGGTGGCAGGCACCACATGAATACAAGTCCTTGCTGTTAATTTTCAGCATACAATATGTGCCTTGTTCCACTTAAAAGCAAATTGGAAAACAGATTACATCAGGCAAACCAAAGAGAAGGTTATAGGCTCTATCTAATGAGGTGACAGAAAATTAGAATTCTTATCCCAGGATAGTGATAGAGTGGGCTGTATTGTCAGGTGGAGTACATCCTGGCATCTCCCCTGCCTTCAGCAGAGCTCATCAGCTGAGAACATAAGTCTGCTCCCATCACACACACAGAGCACAAGCTCCGCTCTCTCTAGACCTGCTGATGATGGAGGCTTTAACCCCTCTATACTGCTGAGGCTTGCATCTCGGGCATGTGCAGCACTGAAAAGCCATGCACACAACTGGCAGCGATCTGAGCAAGCCCAGGACAGGGCCCTTCAGAAGGCAGCTGGGCTGAGGCGTGGAGCACAGATCCCACAGGCAGGTCGTGGGTGCTCTATTCCGAGCTCAGGCAGGGATTTCACAGTCAAGGGTGTATTACATGGGGAGGCCGTGGCTGGTGCCCAGTAAACTTACAACACACATGCTCCATTTTTTTACACAAACAGATGCATGTGGAATGTATCTTTCCTCCTCTAAAGCTTTCCTACACCTCTTATTCTGACCTTGTGGAAAGCATTAGCAGAAATGTTTACATGACAATTAGTTTCTCAAAAGTAAATCCCAGATTTACATCCCTGTGTTTTCAGGAAGCTCAGATCCATGGCACTTTCACATTCCAACCAGATTTGGACAAGCTGGCTTCAGCTAATCTCTAAATCAGTCATCCACAAATCGTGGACTACTTCTGAAGTAACTAAAAAAGTCAAGCATGCTGTCATCAGGCTAAAATCCACAATCAAAGGGCCCACACCTGCTCTGGAGTTTTTTTGAAGGGCTGAGAAGATGAACATCGATGCTCTAGGTCCTGGTGTTTGTGATTACAGTGTGCTAATCTGGATATGGGAACTAACAGGATACAAATGCTCTGGCAGTGCAGTGCTGAGCTCAGGATAGAGATACTGCCGATAAACAAATTAACTAATTGCTTTAACTAGACTGCCTCCAAGAATGTGTGACAATAACTCCCTTGTTAACCATAATACACTGTGATAGCCTGAAGTTTGCCCTGCTCTCAGAGGACCTGGACCAGCCAAATACTCTCAGCCAAAGAAAGAGAATGGAAGTGGGTCACATACCTGTGGAGAGAGGCCATTGCTAACAGGATTCATGTGGTTGGCAGGAGCTGCAGCATTCATGAAACTGTCCGAGTAGCTGGAGAAGCTGTGTCGGGCCCCGTAGGCAGAGCCGGTGTCCGCAGCGGCGGCGGCAGCAAGCCCTCCTTGGTGCATGGTGGATGGCGGCAGGGGCTGGGGTCTGTGCACAGTGCTTCCCCCGTCTGTGGAGAGAGTGTTTAGAGCTAAACAGTCGTGGAGTGTTACAGCTGGGACTGTGCAAAGCGTGGATCGGTGGTTTGGCTATCCCCATCTCAGCTCCTGGGTCCCACCATCTGTGTGCTCCACGTGAACACAAGCTTATCATGTGGCAGTTCATGCACGGTACAAAATATGCAAACCTGGAATGAAATATCAGACTTTTCTCCGAGTTTTCCCCCAGACAGAAGCTGTAAACTCCTTTGTAGAGGCCAAGACTAAAGCCAACTGGAATTAGCAACACTCCTTCCACTGAACCCCAGTATGGAGGGATCACCTACGTGATACTCACTTTGGACTGACATGCTTTCCATTTCAAAGCTGAGCAGAAGAACTACAGTCATGAGACACACTGACACAGCAGAAAGGACCAGGAGAGAGAGGACAAAACCATGCCGTTTCCATTGACTTGAGGAAAAACCTGGTCTTCCCAACTAAAGGAAAGCCACCTATGTATTACAAGAGCCTTAGTGGGATGTCATGAATCAGAAAGGGAAGGGACGATGGGATGATGTAGGGCAAAAGAAGAGAAGCAGTGCTGGTGAATGGCTGCTCACCTTGGGAAATGGTAGTCGTTGGGTAGGTGGAGTCTGGCAGCTGATACGGGGGGAGAGTCGGCATTCCTGTCGGCGGGAAGCCCCCCGGCAGCAGGTGATTGAAAGCCGCAAGTTGGTTCGCTCCCGCCTGTTTGCGCCATCTCGCTCTTCGGTTGCTGAACCACACCTGATGGGGAGAGGAAAGACCACGTGTGACTCTGAGCTGCTGTCCCACCTCACCTGGGCCGCTGGTGGAAACACATCCCGGATTCAGCACTTGCCAAAAATAGCTCCAGGTCACCACCTGACACAGACTGTATTTGTCTCCGTTCCTCGGCTTCTCTTCTCCTAAATGACAACTCTACTACCACCCTGTCTCCTGAGTGAAGATACATGCATTTAAAATTATTAAAGATACTACTAAGAGCATGGGAGGGTGCTATCAGCAGTAGGGTGAGATGAAGAGGAATAATTTAGCTTGTGTATTCCAAGAGAGTCCATACCAAATAGATGCATTGCTACCACCTGGCCATTCTGCCTTGTTATCTGACAACTATGTGAATTATGCTGAAGGATTAAGTACCATAATAGCAACACGGCTGCACTGTTAGGGGGGATAAATAGACAGATTAGCATCATGGTTTCTATGTTAGACAAGCTAAATAGATAGAACCAGACCGGAGGGAATACAGGGTTTTCTTAGCTTCTCTGTACTGCAGCAAATCACTGTTGTCTGTATGCTAAGACATGCTCTCCTTGCAAGAGGCACTGCAGTGTGCACTAGAATTGTACTGCAGCCAATTTAAATCTCTGTGCATTAAAATAAACCCAGTATTAACGCACGTACAAAGCTGGGCTCATGTCTCCTACAGTGCAAGTTTACCTGTAAGACTCAAGGGAAGATTTTTGTCTTCCCTGATGTGTTTTATCATGGGCAATCTCCCTTCTGCATAGTGGGAAGGGCTTCTCAAGCTGTCTCTTGGGCTTGGTTCACATCATTTAATCAGAGAGGCTCTCAGGCCCAGTCCCTGTTTGGGGTTCAGAAGTATGCGGATAAGCTTTCAAGCCAGATGAGAATGCAGCTGCTGGACTTTGTGAGGCCTAAAGGGCTAGAAAACATGATTAAATTTCACAGCAACAAGAAAAAATGAAGCAAAAATCAAGAGTGTAAAGCATTTGGGGGGAAAAAAATCCTCCATCAGGCTTCCAAGCTGCTCAACTTGAGATCAGAAGGTGGGGTTACAAGGGTTTGAGGCACTGCAGTCCAAACTGTCCCCACATCTTGTGAACCAAACCAAAACTCCCTTCCCTAGGTACAGCAGAACCTTAGTGTGATGCACCTTGCACTTCAGACATGATCCAAATCTCCAAGCAGGTATTTTTCTCTGGCCTTTAAATCAAGTGCCCCTGCAAATGGTCACTTGGTCGTTTGCCTTTTTCTTATTGGCGCCTGTGGGTATCTATAATTCACTCGGCATGACAAGGCAACATGTTTTCACCAAGAGCTGCTTATTTAATGGAGTGCTGGCTCTCAGTCCACGTGTACTGCAGTGGTGCTTTCTGCAAACACAAGCATACACTGAGCTCCACACACGAGTTTCTGTGAGGTTCTCTGGATCACAGTCTGTTATTGCTCTATGTGTTACTCATCTACTAGTGTGCTGTAGAAACGGTTTGATTAAAACCTGCTAATGATAGCTCTGTGTGACCAGCTGATGGTGGCTAGGAAGACCCTAGTTCTGGGCAGTCCTTCACTTCACACTGTTATCTACCTCCGTGTACAGTGAAAACAAAAAAAAGCCCATTTTTCTTTGGAAGAGCTAGTCTAAATTAAACTCCTCTGAAATGTATACAGTGCTGATGTCAGGTCCTTGGCACCAAACGCGCCTTTTTACAGACCTGCTCCTACTGCACAGCACTACTGGCAGAAGCAGCATAACCTCTTAGCACCTTCCAAAAGCGTGACAGAAATAGGTCAGCTCACATCCGATCTGCATTGATCGACAAAGTCCATGCAGGTCAGAATCTCTGTGTCCATTTTTGGCACCAGAAGTCGCTACCAAAATCTAGGACAGAGTTAAGGAGAGAGAAATGAATTAACATTAAGGTCTGTAGCACTTTACAACTCTTTTATACAGTCCAATCCATGGCACAGTTTCTAGGAGCAGTGAGCAACACAAATGAATAAATAACCTTTTGTTTGCCCTGGTCATGCAAAGAGGACAGTCCTGTTCTTTTCTCATGCATGTATGGATGTGTAATTCACGCTTTGAATTAGGGATACAGAACTTGGCTCCTCCTCTCATAACATTTGCTTCCACTTTCACAGTTAAGGGCATAAAACCTGTCTGAATATTTCTGCTAGCTGAACATAAGGAGATAAATAAACCTTCTCTCTTCAGAGAAAAAGGTCTAGTCCCAGACTGGAAGAGCTTCCACTCAAAAAAGAAAAATATCTCAATGCTGAGAATAGCATATAAAATTCAAATACCTGAAGGGAAAACATAACCAAGCAGCTATGAATCCAGGAATCGAGAGGGAAAGAGAAATTGAACTCCAAGAATGTAAAAGCCACTCCAGTGATTTCTGACACTTTCCTGACATTGCAAAGGGTGTGAAAGTTCCTTTTTTATAACCAAGGGCCGGATGCTGGCAAATCCACTCAGGATTAGAAATTCAGAAGAAACATGAGGAGTGAGATGGTCCAGTATGGGACACTTTTCTCCAACAACATCCCCACAAGTATTCAGCTCCCCTGTGGTGGTTTGTCAGTTGGCTTGGCTAACATGATCAAAGCACAACTCCGAAAAGAATTGTGTTGTCCGGTGTTACACTACTGTTGTCCATGCACCAACATGTATGTTTGCATCTGCTGTTCACAATTAAAATTCAAACATGCATGTATGACTCCTTCTGTCTTGCTTTTCCACATCCACTCAAGGGTGTGTAGTTCCTTTATTTTCTAAGGGAGATAAAAGGACACTCTGGATTCTGTTTTACAACCAGGTAGGGTTGACCAAAAAGGCCTGTGCAGGGGCCATTCTTGGGGTGTTTTGCATACTTTGGTTTACAATGTGCACAGGCTTAGAAGAAAGGAAAGCTAATTTTCAAGACTGAGCTATCATCAGAGAAAGAAAATCAGTTCTTAATTATGCTATGGGTTCCTCCTGCGACTTTGGCAAAGCTATTGCTTTTCTGAAGTCAGTGGAAACATTGCTGCATTCAACAAATGTTGGTCCTTACACAACCCACCACCACTAAATTAAGGATAAAACCCACATTTTCTTACATTTTAGTTTATTTCAACAATCAGCCATCTGAGACATAGGTTCTCTAACTGCCAGGAGGCACCATACCCAGCACAGCAAGATCTCTGCCTTGGCTGGAGCATCACAGCAAAACAAATAATAAATGATAATAATAGTAAATACACATGCACCAAATGAGATTCACAACTACGTGCTTAAACACAGTGCTTCCTAACACACCCTGGCTGGAGAATCCAGCCACAAATACACTGAAACCTTCCACAAAGAAATTGATAGGATTTATCTTCCCGTGCAGAGGAAGGGACATTTCATGGCCCAAACAGGTTGATTCTGCCCCTTATTTATAACCCACAGAAAAAAAGAAGATACATTCCAGCTAATGACGTTAGCAATTCTTTCCCTTCCCCCGCCTTAAAGGTGGCTCAGGCCTTTATGCTTATAAATCATTTTATTGGTAGTTAAAATATAGAGGCTAGAGCATCTAACCGTAATGCGAGGCGCACTTCAAAGGGAACCTGCTTTCATTTCACAACAGTTAAGGTTTTATCAGCCACTAAAGATTCCCCCTGCCAGAGGATCCTGTTACGCCATGTTAAGCCTGGGGTAAAGGCTACGGCTGCTAAAACCAGACCGGTGGGAGGAAGATGAGGAAGAGGAGGAAGTTTTGAAGCTGCTGGTCTGCCTGTGGAGACGTTGTTCTAGGGGCCACTGGGGCTGAATCGCACAACTAGAGTTTTATGCTGGGACAAACATAGCCAGAACTTGGGAAAGGGGCTGTGTGAAGAACCCAACAGCAGAAAAAACGACATGTCAGAAACCTGTCTTTTCTTAAAAAGACAAGTTCTTCGTGATCATTTGTCTGTGCACAGCAAAGAGATCATGCACAGTGTAAATGTGCTGCTTTCCAAGGGCATGGAATTACAATATAGGCCACTGAAGACAATAGTTTGTACCTGTTAAAGACATTTGTGGCTTTTATCCCTGCAAACCATCTTCCAAAGAATGTATTGTGTAGACAGGAGATGCATTATAGAAACTGCTCAGCTCAACTGAACAGGTAGATACAGGAATGCCCTCATGGAAAATAAATGAAGATATCCCAGCACGTTCTTCACGTTCTAGTCATGCCCAGGGTCCAGGTAAGACCAGTCCCTCCCTGTGCCATGTGCACCCTGCTTGGTAAGCGAGTATGCTGCTATGAGGATCCTGAACACTAGATGTTCACCAGAGAACATCACTCAGTCCGTTACCTTCACCATCCCCTTCACAGATGGGAGAGGAAGGCAAGGCAAGGCTGAGAAACTTCTCCCATTCATCACTGTCTGCCTCACAGAACCAGCTGATTTCAGAAGAGCCCATCCTCCCAGCCAGATTGGGTTTAGGGCAAAGGTTAGAACTGGTTCTTATTTAACCTAAACGCCTGCACCCAAACCTGCCAACGGCCAGCCCGAGATGTCCCAGGCACTTGTTCTCAACCAGCAGAGCAACGGAGGAGGGCTGCAGAGACAGCTGCCTGCCAGGATGGGGCTGGACTGAATTATCCCCGCAGCCACTGAGATATGGGTCAGCTCCCACAATTTGTCAGACAAGGAGAGGAAAGGAAGGTCAAAAAGAGCCTCCTGTGGGAAAGAAAGCCTGTTGTGTTTCTGCTCAGCCTAATCAGGACTTGATGTTAGAAAAAGATAGATGGGATAAACGAGCTCGTAAATGGAAACGGATGGAAAAGCCAAGTTGTGCCTTTGCTCTCCAGCAGAATGGAAGAGATGCAACATGTGTTTGCTTTCACAGGCCCGAGAGGTTGCAGAAACCAGGTGGAAGAGAGTCATGTGGCCATTTATGACCCAAGCACACCAAAAAAATTCCACCAAAGTCAGATGAAGTCCCTTGCCAGGTTGCATAGAGGCAACTCTGCCAGATC